ACGAAGGCGACGCACCGCACCTGAAAGCTTCGGAAAAGCGGTGTGGGGGGACTGGGGGGGAAGGGGCCGGGAAGCGCAGGACATCTGTCTGTTGCTTCTGCACATGGGTTTGTGTAGACCCCTTTTGATCATGGTCAATCTCGCACTAATCCACCGAACCACCCTACAATGAAGGGAAATAATGGGGTCTTGCCATATTTGCTTGCGGACTCAGCGCCGGCCTTTACAACCAAAACGACTTGCTCAGATCGTAATGTGTAAAGCCCAATTTAGAAATTAAAAGGACATCTTGCCAAACAAATTGTGATGTTCACAAACTGGGCAGCTAAGCAACGAAAGGAACACAACCAGTGCCGGGTGACGCTGCGCTGGACGCAGAAGCGGCCGAGTACTGCAAAACAGCTGCCACCGCATGGTCTACGAGTTGTCAGTATTAAAGTGTTCCAAGCGATGGGGCAGATGTCCAAAAAATCAGCATGACAGTGCTTACAAAAAAACACACCGGAACGTAGCTGGGCGCCTGTTTGGATCACTCAAAACAAAAGCAGGGTTTTCAGGTCAAGTCAGCCACTAACCAGAACTAATTGATTCCCTCCTTTCAACTGACATGGGAATTCGGTAAGGACCCCGACGTTGTACAATTGATTGCAGATGTTGGTCCCCGTGCTCCGCGCCACATCCTTGCTCTCGTCACATTAGATGATGAGGTCAAACGCATCTCCCCCTCTCTCGCCAGGGAGTTTCAAGCCGTACCCACCCGAGAGCTGGCGTGAGCGGGGGGGCTAAGAGATTCTGCCTCGCCAGGAGTCTGGACTTGGGCTCCTCGTCAGAGAGGCGCTGTGTGCGGTTCAACCTCCCTTTTGGGCCCCGCGCCCACTGATTGTGGCCGGTGACACTCAAGACGCAGCTGCCTCGGTGCCAACGACCCCACGTGCACGGAGTTGAAGTCGTGTCCAATTCGGGTCTTGCGACATCATAAAAAAAAAAGAAGAACAGCGGCCATGTTACTTGTCCAGCTCAATGCCAAAATTTGTTTGATCTCGTTTCGGTCTCGCTTGTTTTTCAAAAATATCGTAGCCAAATTTGGGGGGACCCCTCGCTTTGCAGAGGATTCGTGCAAAAACACTTGTTGGACAAAAGCGCGTCGCTACATCTGCAACACTCATGCGCGCACGCAAGCTACTTTGTTCTCTCGCATCGTTCTTTCAGTGATCTGAGGAGAACGACTATGAAGAACTGGATTGTTCAAATGGGTCATGGCTCAAGGCATCCGACTCGTTGCGGACTCGTTTTGGGCCGTTGTTTTCTTTCTGGATTGTGCGCCGCCCCGAGAATGCATTGAGACCTTGCCTTGCAAGAGCACTTCAGTTGTGCAGTCTACGCATCTACTCTCACAGCTAGTCGGGCCAGGCCCTCTGACAACCGTGATTCATCTTGTTCCTTTGGTGGAATACGCGGGTCAACCCGCGCTGTGTATGTTTCCTCGAGATATTTTACGATCCGAGGGCAAAAACGGGGCAATCTTCCAATTAATTGGTGTTTTGGAGCCCGGTGGTTTGGCGGTGTTCCGGGGGTGGTTTCCCATTTACACTCTGCAAGAGCCAGGGCTTCAAATCCAAATCTAACCCACCAGAAACTTGGTGGTCAGTAGGGAATGACCTTCCGGGTGTTGGGAATGAACCCAGGAACCCCTTAAAGGAAACCACCAGTTGGATTGTTTTTCTTGGTTTCATTCCAATTCTCATCCCTGCGTATTGCACGAGCAAGATTAAGGGGAACACGAAACCTGCGATACCTCAACTCAGTTGCCCAAAGGACCCAGAAACAAAAGGTTCACTTTTCGGGACCTTTGCCCAAAATAGAAACCAAAATTGGAAAACCAAAAGCTTGAACAGGGATCCTTACATTATACACCTGAACATTGCAACTTGTAAATGGTGTCCCTTTCTTTTGCTGGAAACAGCAACATTGGTTGCAAAGTGAGTTTCTTTTAAGGAGACCGACCCATCCAATCGGGGCGCATTCAAAAACCGTACCTCGCAGCCCAGGGGCCGTCAAGCCGCCAGACCTTGGCGCAGGCGTCCTTGGAAGCCGTGGCCACCTCGGCTTCCACAAAAAGACATGCCCCAGACCACAAAAAGATGGCCCAAAAAATGAGGATTTGGGTTGTTGGGCTGTTGGGTTGTTGGGTTGTTGGGCGGTTGGGTTGTTGGGTTGTTGGGTTGTTGGGCGGTTGGGTTGTTGGGCGGTTGGGTTGTTGGGTTGTTGGTCAGCATCCCCCTTCATGGTTTGGATGGTGGCTTCCCATTCTCAGTTTATAGGAACCAGGGTAGCCCAACCGCCAATCCAAACCAATTGGGGCTACCTGAGTCATACTGCTGATTTGGGAGGCCCACGTGAATGCGCACCACTCTTCTTGGTCAGGTGACAGAAGAAGGGCCTAGCATAGATAGATGGGGAGGACGTGAAGCGAGCGCTTTCGGACGTTCACATGTTGGTCCAGCCTTGCGCCCCGAAAGTTGAAGACTCCCGCCCCGAAAGTTGAAGAGTCCCTCTATCTAGCCTTCTGAATTTTTCCCGGATCCACAACCCCTAGGTAACCACCCTTTCATAGCACCCTCTCCACAAAGTTGCCAACAGGAAAATGGTAGCCAAGCTTCCCGGCTGCGCAACTCCATGTTAGGCAATATGTATCACAGGCGCCCCCCCCCCCCAGTGTACCAATGTATGTTGGAGCAGCCCTTTCATAGCATAGAACTGTGGATTTATCAATCACTCTGCAAAATGAGGGTGTTCTCCAAGCGGCATAGCGCCCGTCGTCCGAGAAGCAGGCGGTTCCTGGGCCGAACTCGCTTCGGGATTCAGGAAGGAACCCCCAAGCATCTGCATGTTACACGCCCCCAAAAAAAACTTCTGACCCCCACCCCAACTGCAAAGAGTTTAGGGTTCCTTGACATAAGGACTCTTTGACATAAGGTCGGAGCTTGGACCGTATCATCTTGTGAGGAGAACCCCAGGCTTCCGAACGGTGCCTGGAGAGCCCCAAAACAAAAGAAAAAGCCTGTAAATCAGGGGCGATTGAACCAATCATGTTGATCCGTTTGGGTTTGGAAATCCCTGAAAGAACTCACCTACTGCTGCTGGAATGCTTGAAGCCAAAACAGCGTGACCCTTCAGGAGGCCGGGTGCATGGACAAGAGGCTTTCTTATAGCATGGTAAAACTACGCGATTCCCTACTGGAGGGGTTTGAAAAAAAAGATGCTAAGTTTCCACCAAGCATCTACCCCCAAGCATCCGGCACACAAGGGGAGGGGAGGGGTCTCTCAAGTTTGGGTTGTGTACAGGTCTGGAGGCTCTCATTTTGGCAGAAGTCAGAGGTGGGTTGCTCCCAGAGTGTCAGAGCTATGTATAACTCCGGAATAACTTCCTAGACAGCATGCAGGACACGGAAGCAGTTCGAGTAGGAGCAGGGATGATCCATCTACGAAGCGAAACTCATCCCCAAACTGTCTTGCGACGCAAGTGAACATCTGCCCCTGAACCCGCATCTACCCAATCAGATCTGTCTTTCAAATCAAGCTGGCTCTCCGAGGTATGCAGGTTTCTCGACCTTCAAAAGAGTCATGAAACGGAACCTACACACCTGTGTGTCTTAAAATAAGCACAATAAAGAAACTGACCCACCCCCGCTCTCCTCGCGAGGTGCCAACAGCGGCAACATTGGGCCACCGGGCTGATCCAATCGGTGTGGCCATGCAAAACCATCAGGGACCTGCCCGGCCAAGATTTGCCACACTTGCAAGCGCCTTCTGGTCACACGTGTCCAACGCTTTGCCCCTTGCTTTCTGAAGCAACAGAACGGCCAAATGGGGCGGGTTGCGCGAAGCCCTCAAGCAGCTCTGAGCTGGAGCATGCAAGTGTAACTGAATAAGATCCTGGCAAAGCCGAGTGAGACATCGAAGGGTTCCCTAGACCTCGCAAGTATGCCAACCTTCAACACCCATTTTTTCTTGAGATCATGCCGAAAACCTGCCCGCCCAGGGTCAAATCTTGAATGCGATCCATTGGTAAGGGACTGACACTGCAGCGTTTAAATACTGGCCAGACACCTACCATGGCAACTACCGGAATTTAGCGAGCTCGTTGTGATTCCAGCCTGCTGGCGTTCAAGCTGGCAGTTTGGGACAGCAATGTGTTGGAAACGCATGTGACAGTTTTGGTTTGAAGTGCATGAACCCCATCTAGCACGAAAATTTACATGGGGCAACTCGATGACCGTTGTGGTGTTTCTGCCGGGACTCCTGAAACCACTGCATTCCGCGAACCTCCGCGCTGCGGCCCCCGCGCCGCGAAGCGGCTTGGGCTTCTGGGCGCCGAGGAGCTGAGGGCCCCGCGTGCCCGCGCCGGCGTCCCAAATGATGGCCGTGTTGTCGCTCACGGAGGTGATGACCTCTGCGCCGTGGGCTCGTCTTTTTGTCGGGACCCAAAACGGATTCGGCCTTCCTTTTGGTGTCCATTCAAAAACCGAGGAAAAAAATACCCTCAAAAAGACACACGCACACAAACACACACACACACACAAACACACCTATGCCCTTTTCAGATGGAGCAGAGTCTGGCAGGAATCGCGAAACTAGTCCGGATGCGCTGAGCCCTGGTAACGCCTCTACATTTTTGGGGACAGCTTGGCCTTATTTTGGTCATGGAAGTGCCTTGCGTGAGGGAATCGATTGGTCGTCCAAATGTTTTAAACGGTTGGTGACAATCCATATTAACAAAGAGTAGTCCCTTGGCACAAATCCTTGCAGCTGCTGTCCCATGATCAAAGGGCTGATGATGAACTCGGATTAGTTTTCAGGTACTCGGGCAAATCCTCTATTGCGATCGACTCTTGCCAGGTGGTTAAACAAGTCCGAAACCGGAATAAATCCCACTCGAATCAAATTTGGAGGACAATACCACCCATGAGTAGATGCGGATATGTTTTTTGCTAGCCTTTTCCATGCTTTCGATTCTGAACTTGCACCAAGTGGGCAACTCTCCGCGGGCTAAAAACAAAAGCGATGCGCGCCTTCAGCGAGTCGGGGGAGAAAGCCGCGTGCCGCACCCACTCCTGATTGACGAGTGACGGGCGAGTTGCACGAGGCGACGCACCCAAAAAGCACCGCCAAAGATAGCCGCTGGGCCGATGTGCATACCCTTGCTCCCACTAACATAGCACCTGCAGGGTACCTGGAAGATCAGCTTCCTCTTGAAGCGACCCCCTGTAAGGTGCCGTGTTTGTGCGAGGGAGGGTAGGTGTTCAATTGACTTCCGCGCAAACACGACAGTTGCCAAGGCGCACGCCAAGCGAAGCGAGGCAAGCAAATATGAGCTAGCCACCGCAGCCAACCAACAAGAAACACAAGGTCATCCAACAAACAGCCAGCTCTCAGCAAATTACAAATGAACACTCCTTTCACATTCCAATGCAAGGTCAATCAAGTCCAATCCCATCCAATCCAATCAAACCACTGAAGCCATTGATCGATGATCAATGCCAGCAAAGAACCCCCCACCTCGTGCATGAGGCTGTGCCGCAGGAGGCCATCCGTCAAACCTCGAGACAGCCCAAGCAGGAAAGCTGGATCCCCGAGCATCCCGCCCCCTTCTGTTGAAGCAAACCACACACAGGGAGTACTTGCGGAATCCACTGTAGCACCGGCTGTCTGAATGCTGAGCCGTAACCGTGCAGCCTCAACCTCTTCCGCCGAGCTGTCAGGTCCCCCCATCCGATCCAAGGAATCTATTTGTTCTGAGGGCACTCTGTTGGCTGTTCTCGTTCGGGTGAGCTGCCACCAGCCTTACATCCGCTGGCTGCGGAAACACCTTCAGAAAAGCTATGCGTCGAACCTCCTCCGCACCAGCCTTTAAGATTCCTTACTTGAAATTGACGTCATATGTGAGGTGGTCAAACTCCTGATGTGGGTACCGGTCATGGTCCACTCGTAGAAACCCCCTTACAACTCGTGTCGCAAAACTCAAGTCCATGACCATCCCATCACATCCCAAAAGAACGAGGTCTTTTGATAAGGTTGGGGGGGGAACATTGTCTTCAAAAGATGCTCCGGGTGGAGCGGTTCAAAAAAATCGTGGCTTGGAGTTCACGTGCAGTAACCTTTACATTGGTCTAAAAGAACAACTGTACTCTGAGGCTGATGACACTACCAACCCACATATCAGGGCCCGTGGCTTTTGTGAACAAAAAATAGACCTCCCTGAGGGCACGGCAATTTGGCATGTCTTTGTTTCAAAGTCACGTACGGGTGTCTCTTTTGTGAGGCTACACTTTTTGGGTGCGGTTAAAAGGGAAACCAAATGGAAACCACCAATTTCTCGCTGCCAGTCATGGCGCAGCGCTTGGATTTGGAACATTGGGCCTCCCGTCTCCAGAGCTTCGCGGACTTGTCCTATGCAGTTGGGTGCGGAGTAAAAGTTGAAAAAAGGCTGTGGGTCAAAACCAATGGTACCATTTTGGGGTAGGTGCACCACCCATTATGGTCTATTTTAGTGGGGATTGGGATGTTCACTGGGGGTACGGGATTTTGACCCCTGGCCGTATGTCTTTTGCCCCTTTCCCAAAGTCTAGGAGTAAAAATGAAGAACCCAGGAACACTGCTTGGAATGTGACTCAATCGAGCTCTCTGCATCACCCCAATCAAGACTCTTAGGATTATCCTGAAGTGAGAGATGTAGACATAGTCTCCACGGGATCCAGGCACCATGATGTGATTGGCATGTGTGTGTGTGTGTGCGTCTAATCCTTTCCCCCCTACTGTTCATCCGCCCGTATCAATAAACAGGGTTCCCAGGCAAGAATCCAAAAACCAACCCCGCCCCCTGATTTTCCAAGACAAATACCCAGCTACAGTATGCAAAGGACCGCCAAATGATTGGAAAAGAGCTGGAGCTGTTGGCGTGCTTGAAGATCAATTAAATTCAAGGCACCGAATTCTGCACAAGGGAACAAACACCTTTCAACAATGAGGATACATGTTTGTTATCCAATTGCAGTTGCTCCTGGCTTTATTGCCAACATATATATATATATATATGTATATATATATATGTATGTATATATATATATATAACACGTATACCTTGACATATGTATATATATATACTCCTGACACCTCTTAGTAGGGGGCATGTGAAGAAACAAAAGAAACACAAAAAAAGAAAAAACAAGAAAACAACGAGGCCCAGATGGGTTTGAATTGTCTAAAAACAGAAGCAGCTGTAAGGATTGGATTTCCAGCTCAATCGTGAAAAGTGAGAAAGACTGGCCGCCAGATGTTGTTAGAACTGTAAAAAAGCACCAATGAGAAAATTGCATTTCTACCCCTCCAGTGGGCCGGAATACATTTGCCGCTGTGACTTAACTTGGAGTGGGCTTGAGCAGGACGGACTGTCGCAGGACACATCAGTTCGCAACGGCCCCGTGAAACCATCTGCAACTGTTACAATATTTCCAAAACTTGAAAGAAGGATCTCTACCCTGGTGGGCTGGTTAAACCGAGCTCGCCATAACTTCAGAGTCATCAAACTGGGCCTGGAAAGCCTTGGCCAAGCTGCCTTCAGGTTGCCTGCAGCCTTCGGTCACGCGACTTCCGGGCAACGAACAAATTGAACATCTGAGGGCACAGGTGGGGAAAAAACAGAAGAGAACGCCTTCCTTCCTGGCGCTGCAGTGGCTTGACGGGCTTCTCTTGACATCATGCTGAACAAGCCGGATGAATCCAAGGTGCATGGACGACGTTTTACACAAAGGATGAGGTAAACCAACCTGTCAACTTCTCAATTATAGGAAGGCGTATGCACCACAGACCCTTCCAACCCCCCCAATTGCAAATCCGCGCAGTCCTCGCTGGCGCTGACCAGCTGGCCTTAGCAAGGTGAGAAGGCGCTTCGTGGATTGGACGTGGCTGCGCAAAAAATGGTGCCCAAAATTGCGTTTGTGGAAACCAAGACTGAAACCTGCGCAGGCCCAGTTTCGCCGCACCCCTTGAATTTTCCCAGAAACCCGTTTCGGAGCACTCGGATGCCGAGCCGCGCCCCCGCGGGCGCCCAACTCCCTCCCAACCGCTCCCTTCGAAGGCCTCCAAAACTGGGACCACTTCACGGTCCAGCAGTGGAGAGCTTAGAAGGGTACCCAATCTGTTTAAAGGTCGGCCTCTGTTAGTAGGGTTTTTTCTCCCCCCAAAAAAGAAACGGGGGGAAAGGGCACTGGAGGACCTAGGTATTGGACCGCCCTCTTGATATTTTGTTGGTAATATTGTGGATGGACGAAATCCTGCACCAACGAAGAAACCCTGGAATAGAATGATTCCCCTGTAAAACCAACGAAACAATGGCTTCCCATGGTTTCAAGGCCATCAGCGACCCGCGGGAACTCCCTTTCATCAAGACTCATATGGGAAGCCCCAAGGCAATCCCTGAAAATGACGCTATCCTCCGTGACCCAGACTCCTTGCACCAACTCTCTCCAAAACTTCCAGTCCCTTCTCCCCAAGGATCCACATGTCCGATTTCGCTGGGCGCTGGCGCGTGAATCGTTTGAGATGGACGCCGAGTAGACCTGGCGGTGACAGGAGGATTGGCGGAAAACAGAAGGCTTTTCAAGGGGGGGGCCTTTTGGTTGTCTCACATGGTGGGAGAATGCCCTCCAACATGTTCCTGATTCACGAACCCTGTAAGCTTCCGGTGAGCTGGGGCCTTTGGTTCGCTCGGAATCCCTTGACTTATTGGCTTGAGGGAGGCTGGAACGGTGCCTGCCAATGCTGTGAGGCTACACTGATCCTGGGCTCAGAGTTGAAAGTCGTTAGGCTTGGTGTAGGCTCTGGGCAAGAATTTGAGATTGGCAGGTTCAAGCTTCGGATTTGGACGCCGCCAGTTCGCGCTTGGAATTCGGGATTGACCGGCACGCCAAGGCTTCAAGGACAAGTAGCTGATGGGGGCAAGGTACCAGGAGGCAAACATCTACCTAGAACCCCAGAGGTGCATGTCATGCGCACGCATATGTTCATGCAAATGCACGTGCCAATGTACAGTGTGCACATAGGTGTATATATAGATGTATGCATATTGATATAATATATATATATATATATGGAGATATATATATATATATACTTGTGCGTATCATCTATATATATATATATGGAGATATTATATATATATATATATATGTAGATACACACATCGCGACCCGACACGTAAGCAGGCGTCGGCCGGCCGCGCCGGTGTGGCCATAGATGACCTGGCGCCAGCGGTCCCAGGCCCCAACATGGCGCTTTTCGGTGCTCCTTCGTTTAGGGTGGCTCGTCTTTTTTGGAAGGATCCCGTTGTTTGTTTTCTTTTGCAGGTCCCAAAAGGGAAAACCGCAAACGACAATCTGGTGGCTCGCCGAAAAAGAAGACACACCCTTCAAACCCAACCTCACAAAGGGGGTGGTTAAAAGACAAGGGTTTCTTCAAGATGGTTTTCTCTCTTGGGGGTTGGTTCCCACAAATAGTTTTCCCTGGAAACCCAAGGTTGAGAAAACCGGAATTTGCATTGATTTTGGAGGCGGGTTGAGGGGAATCGGGGTTGATTCTCAGGGGTTTAAAGAGATGCTTCACTTACCCGTAACGAGCCACAAGTGGGATTGAGGCGCTTGCTCTCAGACCATTTTGGTGTGTATTGGCAAAGTCAATTTGCAGGTGAAGATAATCGTTTTGACACAGCCACCAGTCTTGAGACTCTGGTCAAACCGCTGGCCTGACAAAAAAGCTCTCCTAGCAAAAGGGGAGGGTCCCCATTTGAATGGACGCAATTTGGAGAGCGCTCTTTTCCTGCGCATTGATTGATTGGAGAGCAGGGATCAACAAGGCTACCCCAAACATGTTCACGACCGCAGCAAATCCCATTCAACCCACACGTACGCCAGGCACACCTAAAAAGGGAACCCCTGTGTCGTATTCCAAAAAAAAAAAGAATCACAGCTAGCGCCTTGGACATTGGCTGATATTGTCTGGTGCAAACCTGGAGAAGGAACCTCAATTTGTGGCCGCTGTCACTTTTCTAGTTGCACCTTCCCCATTCTCTCCAGGGATCCTTCTTTTCAGGAAACCATCGAAAGCCCAGGGGAAGCCGGGTTGTGAAAAGAACGCACGGACCTTTTGATCAACCCCCGCATCTCAACTCCTGTGGCCCCAAAAAAACCACCCTGCAGCCGCGGCCTGTGAGCAGGACTGAGAGGCGACACTCCAAAGCCTCGGAGGATTTGTCTTTTGATTCGCAGCGGAGACCAGGGTGCTTAAAGGGGCAGGGCACGTCGGTGGTTAGTAAGCCTGGTGGAAAAAGAACCAGAGCCATGGGTAGAAGTTGAGGTGGGCTATCAGGCGTACCAACCGCCCAAGTACCCTGCCCCATGAAGTAGGATCCGCAATCGCGGATCCATGGTGTCGGTTTTTGGAGCTGACAAGATATTTTTTCTGGGTGTTAAAGGGAGAGCAAAAGGAAAACCGAAATCCATGTTGGGGGGTCCAACCCTTAAAAAGACACTCCCATGAAGGGAAACAGGTGGAACCAGAAAAGAGCTCGTTCAAGGCGGTCTCTTTGGAGCTGTGCGGCAATGGACTGCGATGCGTGCCAGGTACGAGGGGCTCGAAATTGGTCATCCTTCACTGTCTCCGGGTGATCATATTAAAAACCCTGATTTTCCAAGACAAATACCCAGCTACAGTATGCAAAAGGACCGCCAAATGATTGGAAAAGAGCTGGAGCTGTTGGCGTGCTTGAAGATCAATTTCAAGGCACCGAATTCTGCACAGCCTGACTCGGCAAAGGCCAATTGCAGTTGCTCCTGGCTTTATTGCCTATATATATTTATAACACGTATACCTTGACATCATATGTATATATATATACATATGTATATGTATGTACAAGTATATATATATATATATATTGTATAGATGCTTCAATTCTCCACGTGCTTGAAACCCAGGTGGACCACTCCAAAAACTACCAGCTAGGAAGTTGGCAAACTCGCAGCCAAGGACTGTGGTGTCAACAAAGGATCAGCCAAAGGTCACATATCTCCATGTGAAGCAGGACCGTGCACATCAGAGGTGGTCCTCTTTTAGTGAGGAAATTCACAAAAATCAAGGGGGTCCTCTTAGTCAGAGGATGGACTACCCTGAAGTCAACATTACAAGGGCCGGGGCCCAGGATGATCAGATTCAGTTCAACGGTCTCTTAGCAAGCTCCCAAGTGGACAGGGCGATTGAGGGCCCCTGCCGAATGGTCGCATCATCCGAGGAAGACGCGAGGGTCTGGCCTCGCTTGGCGAGCGGCAACGGAAGCGTGAAGGTAGCGGGAGGGTTCATGGGCTTGGTCGAAGGATTGGTTTGGAGTCTTGCCACTGGACACATTCCTTCATTTTGATAAGAAGGATTTGGTTCTCCTGGCAGGTCAGTGCCGAAACGCGCAATCAAGGCGCTCACATCCCAGTTTAGGGCCTTGGCACTCAGAAATCCTTGCAGCCATCGAAGCCTCCTTGCTAAAGTGTGGGTATGATAGGGCACCCTTTCGTGATGTTACTTAGGAAACCAAAAGGATCACCAATTTGTTTGAGGGGGGCAGACATTGTCGACAAACCCAATTGCCAGGAGGCTTGGCTACAGCAAAACCAGCAGCGCTGCCATAGGAAGTACTTATAGAATTTAAAAAAGGCGCTCCTATGACGTATCCATAGAGGCTCGTTCTTCAGCTCACTGGCTCAGATTGAGGTCGCAGGCAAGCTGTACATTTGGGCGAACATGGGTTCCCCTTGGTTTTGGTGGGACTTTTAGTGGGTCCCCTTTCCCTCCCAAATGGACCCATAGTGTGCTGGAAACTTGGCCAAACCTCATATGGGAGGCCTCCCACACTTGAATGCTTCAGAGGTCTGAAGCTGACCTTGACGCCTTGTACCGTGAAAAGGCGACTTGACATTGTTTCAATGTCACGTATATTGGTGTTGTGTTTGATTAAACGGGAGACAAAAACAAAAAAAGGAAACCACACCCGCTTTTTGCGTCCCCCTATTTTGAGACACACTCATATTTACGTTCGCACCAAATAAGCAGAGTTCTTGATAAAGCCAGCTCGGCCTTTGTAAACCTTACTGTTCTAGGCAACAGGGATCATGGTGTCATCAATCCTCAGATTTATCAGCGTGTGGCGCAGCAGCCACCAGCCCGGCGCATAAATGACCTCTTCTTCACTGGGCAATGATTTACCAGCTAAATTGGCTCAATGGCTCTCATGGCTGACTGATCTTGTATGGCTCACCTGCTTCCATCTGCCGACTGGGCTCACTATGCACTGTCCACCTGGCGTGAGTCTGTTTACGCTTTGACACATGGAGCTACTCACCAATCTCCTCAAGCTTTGCCGGGATCCCATTAAAACCGTTAAAACATGACAATTTGGT